AAAGAATTGAGGCAGTTCTGAAGGCAAAAGGGAGTCCAACCCGTTACTAGCATGGGGTACCTAATAAAGTGGCCGGTGAGTGTATATATATATATATATATAAAATCATGGTATTTTCTTTCAATCCTGAAGTGAATTCAGTATGTATGGCAAATGGCCAATACCTCATAGAGCTTTATCAACTCCATAAACTGATGGTTAGACAACTACTGTAACAGCAATGACAGAAGCTGTGGCATGCAACTGGAGCAGGGGCGAAGTTAGAATTGGCAGGGGGTGCTATTGATCCCCCTGAAATCTGATTGGTACCCCGGGGGCCCTCTGACCATCAATAACAGGCAAGGCGGGTGAAGTGACTGGCCCAGGAACACAATGACTGGGACACATGGGTCAAGGGGCTTGAACTGGCAACCCCTACTAAATGTATTTCCTTCAGCTTTTTTCTAATACACATTTTGAGGTATTGCATCAGAAAGAATGATGGAAACCACAATTTTGAAAACAACTACCTTTAATTCACTAAGGTTTGCTCGCTTGACGTGCTTTTTGGCTTTTGCAAAAAAAAAAACAGATTTATTAAAATGGGATATTAAAAACACTTTTTAAATCAGCTCTGACATAGCAAAATTTTACTTTACAAGACTGATTAGCTGTTTCTGCTCTCGCCATCTGTCTGAATATTCCCATTATGCGTGTAAGCATGGCAGATAGCTACCATTACTGACATTTTAAGATCACTCGATGGCAAGACATTTATTAAAACATTCCTCCATCACTGATCTGTGGTCGGTGCTAGATAGCAGCCTCTTCTTCCTTCTTACTACAGCCATTAATGTCAACATGATGTGGATGACGACATATGATGACTTCAAACTTTGTGGTTTGGTTAATTCGCTTTAGACCAAATAGAAACACCACAAATTTGCATGGCTACTGGTTACAGAACAAACCCCTAACTCCTGAGTCACAGCTGCCCAAAATCTGAATTTTTTTTCCGTATCACCAGTAAAGTTAGAGAAACATAAAACCCTATTTACAGTTGTGCTTTGCCAGTACTTATTGTCCACAATGATATATTTCATTTATCCATTCTCAAAACAGTTTTCAAAATCGACATATGTAAATAAAATGAGAGCACATCCAAATTTAGGTGTTTCTCTGGATACTCCTGTTTCCTCCAGCAGTTAAAAACCTGGACATTTAGATCAACTGGTCTCTGAATTGCCCATAGGTATGAGATTGTCTATGCTTCTTTGTGCATCTGTGTAGGTCTGTAATTGACTGATGTGTTTGTCCAAGGTTAGCTTTAATGACTGCTAAAGATGGATACCAGCCCACCCTACAACCCTGCAAAGAAAAGCAGTTATGGAAATAAGATTGGGCAGATTTCTGTTTTATTCAAATTATAGCATTTTTTTTCCTGCACGGTGCTCTTATTTGATGCATATTTGCAGCAAACAATTGTGCACTTTGAATCTGTGTTTTTGTTTTTTGTGCTCATTTTTTTTAAAAGCAGACTGACCCTGAAATTAGGAGCCAGGACCTGTTTGGGAAGGTTTGTGGTTTTATTGAATAAATTCTATTTATTCATCTTAATACAATGATGTGTTGAACACTAAAAATGACTTATCAACGTGAAACGTGTACACTATAAGCTTGACTATGATCTGAGTGAATGCACCTATTCCCCCATATTCATCATTCCACATGTTCCAAGTTTTTATAGCTATATATAAAATCAAATAGTATAGCTTCATTTCTAATTGTGTACCTTTATTCCTTAATATGCGTTATTTTAATCAAATTTTCCGTAGAACACAAACCTTCTGTGTGATTTTTACCTGGAAGTCAGAGCTTACCTGCTTGGCCCAGAAATCAATGGATCTTTGTGCTGTGTCGCTTTAAGTACAGCAGGCAGTGCTGTTGGTCCATGTCGGAGCGCAGGGCGCACGGTGCGGCGCTTCCTCCCTGCAGCATGAAGCTGTCAGCACATCGGACAGCCGAGAAAAAGAGGGAGAAAAACCCAAAACCTATCTATCCACTGCTTAAATCGAATCAAAGCGTCGACTCAAACAAATTACAGCCGTGATTGCAAGGGGAAGAAGGGGTGTGAGCCCTGGGAGACATAAACACTTCCCCTTCCCTCTCCGAGCGACACGCAGGAGCGTGCAGCGGGTTTCGCAGTGCACAGCAGGCTGGAGCTCATTACTGAACCAGAACCCTACGAGCTTGGATCCACAAACGAACCTCTGAAGCCTGGAAACATGACAGACAGGGGAGTTGTTTATGTTGGAGGTAAAACATCTTGACCGACTCTGACAGATAACCATCATCAGCTGAGTTTCCCTGCATACCATCTGCAGAGGCTTCATCTGGATTCACGGTAGAGGTAAGGAGAACACAGTCTTCATTCAATTCCCTCTGTTGAATTCAACCTGGAAGAAAGCCATTTGCTGCAGTAGATCAGTTTGTAAGTCAGAACTATAAAGCAGCAGCGGCTGGATTTGTGGTGCAGGAGTCCTGCTGGTTCCTGACTGAAACAAGAACGCCTCTGAGGTGAAGAAGTGATGAAAAACCTTAACATCCAGGTATTAGTTATGTCTTAAACAAATGAAACGAATTTTTTTTTAATTAGATTGATTTTAGCAATGCTGCAAGTTCTTGTGAGCTTACTTTCCTCTATTGAAGAGATATCTCTTTTATTGGTTAAATCTTTTTGCTTTTTCTTTATCCACTGACTTGTTTGCTGGCCTGTGAAGAAACTTCAGTCTAACCACCTGCATGGTTGGTGGCCCACAAACTGAACCATTTGATTACCCTGGGCCCCCAAGTGTGAAGATACTGGAATTTCATTAGAGACTTACTGCTAATTTTTAACCACAGCTGCAAATTCACACGGGCTGAGCTGAACTGCTGTTGAGCCCCTTTTGCTTCCAAACTTTTCATCTGCTGACCCAGAACAATAACAGCTGCAGAGAATTTCAACCCCAGTTATTTTCAGTTGAAGTGTATAAATCTAGATAATAAGCCAATTAAAAGAAAAGAAAAAGTGTACTCCTCCCTTCAGGTCTTTCTAGGGGACGTCTTCCTCAAATATTTTGAATCCTGGATAATTCATGACTGATAGTAGAGTGCACTAGGACAAAGGCAGGCAATTCTTTTTCCCTAGAGGCAACATGCATGTGTAATTGATTGTTGTATAAGGGAAGGGTCACTTGCTAAAATGTATTAGATTTCAAAACTGATTTTTCCGCTGTTTGAAACAGTAATTAATGCAACATGCAATGCTGACAACTAGAACTATATAATACAAAATAAAAAACACTTGTATTGGACAGGATATCTAGTCTGATAATGTTAATCATAGCGGTAATTTGCTAAAATAAAGATCTTTATTTACGTACTCCATTCTCTTCCAATCTCTAAAGCTGTAATCTTTTCTCTACAAAGAAAGACGGTTTACCTTTTTATTCAGTAAATGAATACATGAGAACAGGGCTATTTGGAACATGGACATGGTATTATCCTAACATGTCGCTAGTCCTTCATATAGCAGTACATAGAGGTGCATGACACACAATCATGCACCCCTACATTTTCATTAAGTGTGGATGGAAACTGGAGTATCTGAATAATCACACCCCCTAAAATAAGGAGAAACTGTGCAAATTATATGCATGAGAAAAGAGGAATTTGGTTCCAGTCCTTAGTGCAAGGTAGTGCTAACAAGTACACTGCTCGCATTCTAAGCTGTCCCTTTTAACATTATTAATTCACACATAAATGTTGAAAGTATTTCTGTATTCTCTCGTCTACCATGAAAATTGGGTCAGGCAAGGGTCCAAATACAGTTAAAACATTTTCTTTCCTGAATTAAAATAGCATAGCTGTGATTCTTTCCAATTAGGTTTGTATGCATGTCTGATTTGGGATGTTGTATCTCAAGTACAACAGTGACATCCTGTCCCTAACCTTAGAAACTCTCTGAGTCTTTTTTAAGTTATGTGGCTTCACCTTTGCTTTAGACCAGTGACTCATTGAAAGTCTTGTATTGTTTAATTGTTTTTATTTTCTCTTGTTTGCATTTTTGTTAATTCTGTGGTATTTATTAGTGCTATAAATCAGTAGAACCCATCTTCTATAGGGGTTATTTATCTAAATATCAAAACAAAAAAAATATACTTTTAAATATTTGCCTGAAAAACTTTATGCTTGACTATGCAACAAACTAACTATTACAACAAAAAGCCAAAGTATTATGATTTAATTGTAATCCTCCTGAGGAAACACCTCTACCCTCCCATCCCCTTTGGTGCGACTTTGTTGTATTATAGATCGCTGAGCCACCTATTATTGTGAAACGCTGAAGAGGAGGAAGAAGAGAAGCCCTGTGGTTCCTCAGATTGATTACAATGCGGTTAAATCAATTTATGAATGACACTAACTGCTCATGTTGCTGCTATTTCAGCACTTGCCATGACAGTGAATAAAAAGCAAAGAGCATGACAGGCCTCTTGTTTTGGCAGCTGGAGCACAGGCCACAGTTCATAGATTCTGAATCCAGACCAAGCTGAATTGATCAATGCAGTGAACCTTTTTGTAAAACATAAACTAAACCCACTTTTTATCTCTTAAAGGTCTAATGAGCATTTTTCATCCTGTTTTAGTTTGAATTTGGTTTCATCTTTAGCGAAAAAAATGTAAGTATGTTCTTTCACGACAATATAAATGAAATCACATGGATTTTCTTATTACCAACAGGTACTGCAATGATATGAAAGCCCTCTCTTCCCTCAGGCAGCCAAACACATACAAGAGGGGAATAACAGTGTGAAGAAATTAATGTTTCTTCACTCTTTTAAATGCACAATGTTATTTCCACTTCTGTTGCTAATGCTTAGAATGATCAAAGTAGGTGTTTTTTTTTCTATCCAGTCGTCCCCTTGGCATTAAAACGGAACCTTAAATGTTCAATAAAGATTGGATTTTAATAGTTGAAAAAAGCCTTTATTTTGCAGTGTAATGTTACATTTTTGGATTAGCTTTTACTGCAGAGGAGAACCTGAGAGTGGCCCCTAATATAAAGCCCTTTGTGTATCGGCGCAGCCCTAGAACCCTTTGAAATCCTCTCCAGCTTCTCTCCTCTCCTTCCCTCCAACCTCTCTTCAACCTGCCATTGAAACCTCTCCAGTAGCCCCAATCTGGAGGGAAACTGAGAGAAATTATTGTGCATACTTTGGCTGGTTATTACAGTAAACTCATGGCCACACAACCCTAACTGTGTGTGTGAGTTTGATAGGTGCACTACTTACTGATACATCAACGCTAAAAAAGGGATGTCAAGATCCTCATTAGAGCTCTTACAAAAATAGCTGCTGCCTCCCTCTGAAAGTCATTGAAATTTTCTAGCCCTTTAAAGGACAAATCTTCTTTAGTATTGTTAGCTGTGCATTAAAAGGGTTCCCTCTATAACCAGATACTCCTTCAAGGCATTAGTGCATCATAATGTTTTGTTTAATAGCAGGAAACTAAATATTTAATCCTATAAAGTTAATAAAGCAAGTTAGCTAAAGACCTTAGCATCGAGGGTATTTTTTTTCTTGAGAAAGAATGTCTGCTCCTATCCTCATATTTTTTGGGATTTGCATATTATGCTTCAAATCTACATTTAGTGTTAGATACTAAATGTCTTATTTCAGGAATCTCAAGTTCAATGCTTAATGATTTTGACATGGTTCTTGTCTAATTCATTTCAGATATCAAAAAAGGTACGGACGGCACCGTGATCATTAGAAGCTAGTTTTTCGGTTGTTTAATCATTTTTTAGACCTCATGAAAGATAAAAACCAAGTTGCACAGGTGCATTAAATGTTCCAGTTTAATTCCTAGTTATAAAAAACCTTAAGTGGGGAAAAAATATTTTTGGAGAAGCATAGAAATGTGAACTTGAAATCTGTAGGAATCCTGTAAGCTAAACATGGAGCACAGCAGCAAATTTTCAACCATGTTAGCTTTAAAGTGGTCATAGAATGCAAAACCGAGTTTACATTGTCATAGATGAACGATAGTTCAGTGGGTGAAATGGACATATAGAGAAGTTCAAACTTCATCGACAGGCCCGAGTTGACGTAAACTTGGGGATGGTGCCTTATTTGGTTCTAGCCTGTACTTTTGTCATGCCCCGAAATTGAAATACAGACCAGCCCACTGGTTCACTGGCCAAGGGATGGGGTGGGTGGTGTGGGACTGGACTGGACCTCAGTTGAGAGCAATGAGCATCTGGGAAAAAATACAGAAAAAAAAATACTCTGTGGCCTTATCAACTTTTCTATCTCTCTGTCTTTGATTAGATTGTTATTAAAAAATCTGATAGGGCTGATTAACAAAAAAAAAGGTCTAAATGGAGTTTTCAAGCCTTACAAATAATAAGCTGTGATTTACAAGCACTGGCTGCATAAAAGGCAGATGCATGTTCTACTGTGGGTGCGACTGACGGTTAGGTTATAAACATAAATTTCAAACATCCACCAAGCGGAACCTTCAGCAAACGCCTGGAGTTTGATAGGACATCCTTATCCAAAATTATAGCTCAGTAGCTGTCATTGTATAATATTTTTATGTCGATAAATATCAGTATTTATACCTATATATTTGTGCATTTTGAGGATTATCTCTACAGATACACACCAAATATCAAAATACATATCTTTATTGATATGATTAAAAAAATATCTTTCAGATTCATTAAGATACTTGTTGGTTTGTATTTGATGATTTTGCTTATACTGCCTTGTCTTAATTCCAACAAAGTGAGTCTGATAGGATGGCGATTCTGTGTTTTTCTGATTGGCCGTTGCTTCAAGATGAACTCAAAAAATCTAGGACAATGAAGTAAGTGGCATAGCTATTTGTTTAGTGTCTGTCTGAGGATAGGTTATTTATAATTTTTTGTATTTCAATAACTTTTTGCTTCTCTTTTATAGGTAGATGAATAAAGCAGGAAAGTAGTGTTCCACAGCCCCAAGTTGGTCGATGGCCTTTATGGTGTTTGTGCCTCTCAGTCAGATTTGCTGCTTATAATAGGATTATGCCCCAACCGCAGACTTTTTCCTTAAGACCTTTTCAGATAAGGCCTGCCTGGGCAGGTGGCAAGTAAAAAAAAAATACCATGAGCTAGAAATCGCATAAATCTGGGAGATTCCAAACTTAATCCCTGCCTTAAATCTGGGGCCTGTTCAGATTGACAGGCATTTATATATATATATATATATATATATATATATATAATATAATATATATATATATATATATATATATATATATATAAAATAAAGACAGGGATCTGTTTTGTTACCAGGAAGAAAAAGTAAAAACTGAGCATTACTTCAC